GGATTTTGGGTCAGCACATCAGTGCTGGCTGCATGGAGTCAGTGTAAAAGTTGCCGTGCTAAATAAAATGGAAGTTTGTTTCAAAAAAGACTTTGTTTGAGACACAATTTATTTGAAGACAGCCTGAAAACCTGACACTTGCCCCCATCTATTCTCTGCCTCCTGAGTCCCAGCTGATTGGGAGGGAATGGGGATTTTGCAATAACCTTCCCTTGGATTGGGGAGGGAATGGAGATTTTACAGTATCCTTCCCCTGCCACACCCACCAAGTCATGTCACGTCCACCAATCCACACCCACAGAACTGGTAGTAAAAAATTTTGAAACCCAGCAGCGATTGGTTCTCTGCTTGATTAGTTTCCATCCTTGGCTTTTTGTCCTGACTTTAGGTGCTTTGGAGAATGGGTTGACCTCTTCTTCTTTCTGGCAGGATTCCCAACTTCTCCACTTTCATTTTTGTGTTTACCTCCATTTGTGAAATTTGTAAAAATAAATAAATTTGTAAACAATGCATAAAACACAGAATGGTAGGGCTGGAAGGACCTTGGAGGTTTTCTACTCCACCTCGCTGCTCAAGGCAGGAGACCTTATGCCATCCCACTCAAATGATTGTCCAGTCCAATTTTTTGAAAACCTTCCATGATGGAGCAGCCACAATTGTGGGAGGCAAGCTATTCCACTAATTGTTCTTACTGTCAGGAAATTTCTCCTTACTTCTTGATTGGATCTCTTTTTGACAACCTTCAGTTTGCAACTAATTATCCAAGATGAATTTACTTCCCTCCCCTGGTCCCCTCTTTATTTTTCTAGAGATGGAAGGACCTTCAAGGGCTTTTTCAAATCTGATTTTTTCTGTAAGGTTTCTGGCTAAGGCACCCTATCAGTGGCTTAGAAATATATCGGAAATGATCTTTGGAGGTCAGAGCAGAACTAAAGGCACAAACTAAGGAGAACCATTTGATCCTAGAATTCATAAAATGAACCAGGAAGGCCCCGTTTCAAACATTCCACTTTTTGAGATCATGTGGATCTTGGGAGTTATAGTTCGAAGTCCTTATCTTGGGAGTTATAGTTCGAAGGAGTTCAAGAAGAGTTGTTCTTGGGAGTTCTCATATCTCCTTGTCTTTACATTGCACCAGGTTCTCAATGTTCAATTTTCAATTAATTCATTATGATCAAAGACCAGTACAATTAGTAGGAGCTCACCCCGTCACATGGCACTCGGGTCTTGAACCCAGACTATCAGCATCTTCAACCACTGAGCTATCGTACCCCTGTAACAAGGGGTGCTTCATCAATAAGCAGCATCTGGCTATAAGCAGGAGTGGGCTTCAAAAATTTTAGCAAGGGGTTCTCTGCCCAGTTGCCGGGTGGGCATGGCCATGGCGGGCGTGGCCTAGTCGGCCTCCTGCACCACGGTGGGGGGGGGCATTTTTGCCCTCCCCAGGCTCCAGAGGCTTTCCTTGAGCCTCTGGGAGGGCAAAAACAACCTCCCCAGGCTCCGGAGGCCCTCTGGAGGCCAGAAACGGGCCTGTTAGACCCTTTTTTTTCCCTCTCCAAGCCTATGTGTGCACCCTGAAATTACCTGCATCCAAAACAGGCTGCGTGGGGACTCCTGGGAGGGGCCAGCCAGGAGTGGGATTTGGGGGTTCTCCAAACTACACAGAATGTTTGATAGGTGTTCTCCCGAACCCCTGCGAAACCCCAGCAGCCCACCCCTGGCTATAGGCCAAGAGGCCACCTGCTGCTCCGAATTGCGTATCTTCTTTTATTAGCAGTGAAAGTGCTACTCAAGGCCTTTTTTAAAACCTAGTCTAAGGTGGTTTTGGAAACCCCTGGTACAAATTTTGCAAGTCGCGTTACTAGATCCACACATTTATAATCCGTATCAGGGAATCACTTGTTCTCACCCTGCACACGAACCCAAAGATCGAGACGAAGTTTAAAAAAATGCAGAAGAATGGAAAAGATGCATAAAATGGATGAAGAAGAAGATATGGGAATGCTTATAATTTGTGCTCATCTCTTTATGGTTATTGTATTTGTTATTAAATATATATATGTGTATGTTTCTTATGAGAACCAAAGGACAGTAGCCGTATGGTACATACCAAAGTTGGGAACCTGTGACTCCATAGATGTTGTTGGACTACATCATATCTGACAATTAGCTATGCTGGTGGATTGAAATTGGAGTCTGAAAACATCTAAAGGGCCACAGATTCCTACCCACTTATATATTTCAATTTATGTAATAAGAAACAAGATTACATGGTTTAGGGTATCTATGAGACCACCTTCTGCCACCAATAACCTCCCACTGGCCAATACGCTTCCACAGAGAGGGTCTCCTCAGGGTGCCGTCAGTCAAACAATGTTGACTGGCGGCCCCCAGGGGAAGAGCCTTCTCTGTGGGGGCACCCGCCCTCTGGAACAAGCTACCCCCAGGGATACGAGTGATCTCGGACCTCCGTACTTTCCACCGGGCCCTGAAGACTTTTCTATTTCAGCAAGCTGGGCTGGCTTAATTTTTTTTTTTTAATAATACTTTATTGATTTTTTAAAAAAAATTAAAAAGAAAAACATCAAATCTCCATTAACATCTGAGGTGTCGTGCGGTTACATATTTACATTATGTACATATCAAGTATCTTCAAATCTACCATTATTAGAAATAGACATATCCTTATAGTCTCGTTCTATTATTCCACCATTTGTACTACCTTTCCCATACTGCCTTAAATTTTGAATTCTCATCGTCTTTAAGAGCACTTGTTAATTTTGCCATTTTTGCGCATTCTAGGATTTTATTTATTATTGTCATCTCTGGAGGGGTTTGTTTGTCATTCCAGTATTTTGCAAAGGTTAATCTGGCCGCTGTTATAACATGAATAATTAATTGTATCTTGTCCTTAGAGAGTCCATCTCCCATCATTCCTAATAAGAAGATTTCGGGGGAAAGTTTTATATCTTCTTCCACTATTTCTCGTAGCCAGATTCGTATTTTTGTCCAAAACTTTTTTGTCTCTGGGCAGGACCACCACATATGAAAGAAGGTGCCAACCTCCTTTCCACATTTCCAACATATTGCTGAGGCACTGGGAAATATTTTTGCTAGTCTAGCTGGGGCTAGATACCATCTATGAAAGATTACATGGTTTAGGGTATCTATGAGACCACCTTCTGCCACCAATAACCTCCCACTGGCCAATACGCTCCCACAGAGAGGGTCTCCTCAGGGTGCCGTCAGTCAAACAATGTTGATTGGAGGCCTCCAGGGGAAGAGCCTTCTCTGTGGGGGCACCCACCCTCTGGAACAAGCTACCCCCAGGGATACGACTGATCCCGGACCTCTGTACTTTCCACCGGGCTCTGAAGACTTTTCTATTTCAGCAAGCCGGGCTGGCTTAAAATTTTTAACTGGTTAATTTTATGGGTAAGGGGTTTTAAATTGGGGAAGCCAAATTGATTTAATTATGTTTTAAATTATTTTAATTTTCATATTGTATGTATTTTAATCTTGGCTGTTCACCCTTAGTCCTTTGGGAGAAGGGCAGTATAAAAATTTAATAAATAATAATAATAATTACCAACCCCCACATTGCTACCAAAATGAAAGGCATACCAGAACCTATGTAAAACCACGGGAAATTTTGATGAGATGGGTAATAAATTATTCCCAAATAAATACATCCTATGGATTTTTAAGGGAGCAATTGCAATTGCCAGTTGTTGTTGTTTTTTCTTGGAGAAAATAAATATGGAAGAAATTATGAACCCTAATTATAAATTATATATAAAATGTAATACATGGATAATGCAGTTTAGACATCTGGTAGTCATAGTTGAGTTTAGAGTTTTGATAAAAGATTTCCTATAAGGTATACATTTCTAAAATGCATTGTTATAAAATTACATGAGAAAAATATTTATTCTAATTATTACATAAAGAAAGTCCTTTGCTTTCTACCCCATAGTTTAGATTGTCAGGGAGAAACTTGTTTGTTTTAATTTTTAAATGTTTTTATAATGGTTTTTTTTTTTTTAAATGCATTGTAAGCCACCCTGAGTCTCCGGAGAAAAGTGGCATATAAATTGAATTAATAATAATAATAATAATAATAATAATAATAATAATAAGAAGAAGAAGAAGAAGAAGAAGAAGAAGAAGAAGAAGAAGAAGAAGAAGAAGAAGAAGAAGAAGAAGAAGAAGAAGAAGAAGAAGAAGAAGAACGTGAGTTGTGCAAACAGCAGCACTTAAATGTATAGCACCATTGCATTTGGGCTGTTAAAAAAAGCTATGTGCTGATGGAAGAGAGTATTTGTAGCTCAGGGTTCAACTGTGGGGTCCTTGGTGCTCCCTGAGCTGGTGGTTTTCTTGCATTCTTGCAGATGTTTCAGTACCAAACAAGTAAAATGATTGGTAATTAATCATGTGCAAGAAAAACAGCCAAGCTCGGAGCACCCCAAGGGCCCCAAACGAAAAACCGAATGAGTAAAGAAATCTCTGGCAAATTAAATAATCACATCAAAATTTCTACCCAGTTAATAAGACAAATTCTCTCTAGTTTTATACCCCAGAATACCTTTACGTCTTCTTCAGACAAAACCACAAGTGTATTCCTTGATTAGTGAAATATTCTACAAAAAAACTATCACAATAAAGACAATTATCTGAATATTTTTGTTGGTTGGTTAAATCATCAGGTTCCGTTTGACAGCTTTGCCTTGTGAGCGATGAATCTTTTGGACTTTGAAAAAAAAATTAAGGGAGGGGGGAAATGGGTAAGTTCTCTGTGGTTGATGCTTTTTTGTTCTTCTTAAGATGGCACCTTTTCGATCCCAAATATATCTCTCAGGCCTCCGGGGTCTTGTTTTTTTTTTCACACCTTCACGCCAGCTCAAAGAACGTGACCAGCTGGGAAAAAATTCTTTTTGCGGACATTATTTAAGACTCAGGTAAGGGGAAAATTTAGAGACAGACTATAGATTGGCGACGACATGGACCCTTGGCTTGGTGAGTACACAATTCATCTAAATTTGGGACTTGGGAAGATCGAAATGTAAAAAGTTGAGGTAAGCAAGGTTCAGGTTTCCTTCAGATGTTGAATAGTCAATCTTGGTCATCAACATCTTCCATTTATCTCAATAATGAAATTTTTGGTATGAGGCTTGGAACATCTTGTAAGGTAATTGCCTTCCGTCATCCTTAAATCTCAGCTGAGCTTCCCAACTGGAAACTGGGCAACTTGTAGTGCTAAAAGAAGTTACCTAATCTTCATATTCCAGATTACGGTCCAACTTCAGTAGGGTTTGGCAGGTAGCAACTCATGCATGCATACTAGCCATGGACAGCTGTGAAGCTGAGGTAGAAGTTTCATCACTGGGGATGAGGAAAAGTTTATCTCTCTTTCTTAACATCTTCCAAGTTCCACAAACAACCAGGAAGCTTAGAAGTTGACATCTGATCTACCTGCCATTTTGTCCCTCGTGATCTTTTTCAGCGTTAGATTAAAGAATCTGAAGTGCATCAAGTTAAGAAATTGAGAATCTATCTCAAGGCAGGAGATTCATCTGTAAGTTATTCAAAGATATAGTTAATGAGGAAGACACTGGGACTGAAATCTGTGTTTCCACTCTCTGTGAAGCAGGAGACAAGGGGACAGTAGGATTAATGATCAAGTAGGATTAATTAGCTACCCGCTCAAGCTGGATACCTAACGGGAAAGTTTAAGCCTTAGCAATTAACTCAGGCTCTGCTAGTGAAAAATCAAAGATCATATTCAGCCGGGAGATTTCTGAAGCTTGAGCTGAGAAGTAGTATGAGATACCTCAGCATCTGCTCCAAGCTTGATCCTCAATGGATCGTTTTTGATCTGACACTTAAATTCCAGGATATGGAGATGCCTTGGGATGGCTCATCTCGGAGATGAGTTATTTTTGAGTTGAAATGTGTTAGAAGAAAGGACACCTGTTCCATGCTGGATCTCTCACTGTGCCATTTCTTATCCTTCAAGTTTAGTCAAGTCTAGTCAAGCTAAAGGACAGTACGGGTTTCTATATCCTGTCAGAAGCCCAGCTATGAGCTTTCTGAGGAACTAGTTAGGGTTTAGAGAAAATGGCAGGCAGTAAGATATTACTGGGTGTCAAGCTTGCTATTTCAGTTAGGAGGAGATGCATATGAAGGTTCAGGGATTGGAAAGAAGGGGGCTCTTGGCTGAGCATAAAACCCACCCAAGAATTTCTCCACTTCTGAACTGAGTAGAAATGGTTGCCTACAAAGTTGTCTCCTACAAATTGTATGTTCAGCTGTGTGATATGTAAGCTAGCTAGCTGAGTCCAGAGTTCAGATCAGCTGGAAGGTAGAAATAAACTAACTGGGTACCTGCTTGGTGGAATTAGGCTGCCAGAAGATTTGTTTCCAGGATGATGCTTGAGGGGGAAAGATTGTGCACCATACCCTGAGTGTCAGCTTCAAAGCAGGTATAAGAGAATCCATCACCCTACTGGAGCCGTCTCTCATTTTTGGGGCAATCTATGGCAATTTTAGGTTCCAATAGCTAGTGAAGAACAAAGCGGCAACGTAGATGAAGGCTCAATGCCAGCTTTTATTTTGGAGAACCTAAAAGAAAGGTCAAAAAAACCTACCCCATCTTTTGCTAGCTTTAGGACTCATTTGAGATGAGAAAAGCATCTACCAGAAAAGTTTTAATTCCCAGATGTGCTTTGCTGCTTCCTCAAAGACGGTCCTGCCCAGATGAGCTGGAGGAAGTTCTGGACTGCTACTAAAGGTTTCTCTCCTCCCAGATCAATGTTAGTTTACAGTGAAGCTATTGGGCAGCAAAAACAGGCAACTTGCATCTTGGCAAGTGGAAGGGGGAAAGAGACAATGTGACTTCCGTTAGATATTAGCTAGAAAATTGCCAAGCTGCTGAATTGGAATTAGGCTGCCAGGAGATTTGTTTCCAGGATGATGCTTGAGGAGGAAAGATTGTGCACCATACCTTGAGTGTCAGCTTCAAAGCAGGTATGAGAGAATCCATCACCCTACTGGAGCCCCTCTGCCAAGGCTAAAATCCCTTTATTTTTATTTTATTTATTTTATTTTAATTTGATTTATATGCCGCCCTTCTCCGAAGACTCAGGGCGGCTTACAATGTGCTCAGCAATAGCCTTCATCCTTTTGTATATTTATACAAAGTCAGCTTATTGCCCCCACAAACTGGGTCCTCATTTCACCTACCTTAGAAAGGATGGAAGGCTGAGTCAACCTTGAGCCTTGGCGAGATTCGAACCCTGCAGTAATTGCAGGCAGCTGGTCTTAATAAGCTTAATAACAGGGTGCCTTAAACCCCTGTACTACCAAGGCTCTCTAATCCTTCAGATGATGAACTGGGTTCGGGAAGGTGGAGAGAAGCTCCAAACACTTTGTCCTCCACTCTCCATAGGGCCATCTTGAGAAACTCTGGAATTCCCAGATCAACATCATTATACTTCTATGAAAGGTGTACTGATTGACATATAGGAAGGGCCTTGGTAGACAAGAGGACTATGTAGTAAACATAGTCCTGTTTTTTCCTCTGGTCTGTCTTAAACTCTAATAGAAGGTGGGAGAAATCCATCGAATAAACTCTATCCCATTTCAGACAAATGGTTGTCCAATCTCTTCTTAAAAACCTCCAGTGATGGAGCAGCCATCATTTCTGAAGGCAAGCTGTTCCACTAGTTAATTGTTCTCACTGTCAGGAAATTTCTCCCTTGTTCTAGGTTGGTCCTCTCCTTCATTAGTTTCCATCCATTGCATCTTGTCCTGAGTTCAGGTGCTTTAGAGAAGTTGGGTTGATGCCCCTCTTCTTTGTGGGAGCCCCTCAGATATTGCAAGACTGTTCTCCTATCACCCCAATCCTACTCTTCATCAGACTAAACATACCTAGTTCTTGTAACCATCCTTCATATATTTTAGCTTCCAGTCCCCTAATCATCTTGGTTGCTCTTCTCGGCACTCTTTCTAGAGTCTCAACTACTTTGTATATTGTGGCAAAGAAAACGAGATGCAATATTCCAAGGGTGGTCTTACCAAGGCATTATCAAGGTGTCAGGTTTCAATGTCATCTCAAATAAATTGCACTCCCAAACAATTCATCTTTGCTGAAATATTCCATTTATTGAGTACGACAGATCTGGCCCCGACTTCGTCGTAGCCGATACTAACCCTCTGACCCCCAAACCCTTCCCTTTCTGTTCCCCAATTCTCATCTTCTCATTGGCCATCTTCCAAGTCAGTCTCCCCAGCTTCTGACCTCACCCCCACAGGAATGTTCCCCCCTCCCATCCCATCTCCTAGGGGATATTATCTACAGAGAAAATAAGTAGGTGAAAAGTCAAGCCTCGTCTTTTTATGGCAGCATCAGAATGCTGACACAAGGGATATTAACACTTGAGGCAATCTTAATTTTATTCCTCTATTAATGCAATCTAGATCAAAAACCAATCTAGGTTTTTTTTTTCCCCCATTGCAACTGACTTGTTTCTTTACAATCCAAAATGGGGCTGAATAAGAGGAAGTAACAACTGAGTTTCAAAGATGGGAACGTATTTTGAGATGCTTTAGATGGTTATTAGATAGACAAACTTCTGAATGATGAAACGCCCAAGGATCCAGGTAGTAAAATCAAGAGATTTCTGATCTTCCAGAAATTGATTGAATGATTGGTATGGTTCATCTATTGCCCAAAATCTAACAATCAGAAATACTTTCAATCTGCTCCCAATCTGATATTTGCAGACAGAGGATTGGCAGGCTTCCAAAGGAGTGAGGGGCTGCATTAATTCAAGGTTCCTGGTTACTTTCTTGAGAATCAGAGTTTAAAAGTGGTTCCTAGGGCCAAAGGCTGTAACAATCTGGTTTCTCCAGGGACTGTGCTGTTTGTAGGACAGGGAAAGTTTGAAAGAAGAAATTGGACAACATTTATCTGAAATGGTGTAGGGTTTTCTGTCTGAGCAGAGGGTTGGACTAGATGACCTCCAAGGTCCCTTCCGACTCTGTTATTCTGTTCTGTTCTCTATTTCTTCCCGTGTAATTGTGGATATATCCCTATCTCATCTGCCATCATCAGGCTTATGTGAGGAGTCTTTTGCAGTGTGTATATGTGTGTGTGTGTGTGTGTGTGTGTGTGTGTGTGTGTGTGTGTGTGTATAGTTAATATTTCGGGTTTCTTCCCGTGTAATTGTGGATATATCCCTAAAAGGGTAGAAGCGACGTTTCGACAGAATCTCATCTGCCATCATCAGGCTTATGTGAGGATTTATATACCTTGTAGACATTTGGTTGTTAGCACTTTTTCTGTGAGTTGTTGAGGCCACTTGGAGATTTATCTCTGCCCTCGGGGTTCCCTGAATAGTGCAAATGGGTGTGGAACCTTCTTGGAATTGCTGAAAGCACTGTGTTGTTTACTGTTCAAATTAAATCCCATACAAGTTGGATCCTGTATTGCTAAAATGTCCTAAAATGTCCCATCTAAAATATTATTCTGTCTTCTGTCCCACATCTGGGTGATTAAAAAATCTACCTTCTGTCGACTCATCCCAAATTTTCTCTTTTGCTCCAACACCTTGCATTCCTCACATGATGACTCTAAACTTTATTTGGGTAACAAAATAATATTAGTTTGAAATCAAAAAGCTATACTTCCCTTATTGGCAGACTATTTACAGTTTCAAGAACCTTAAATTGGTTTTCTTGAAAACAAAAATTCTTGACCTTGAGGTCTGTCTCCTGCCCCATGCGCTAATTAAATTTGATATTTCAGGTGTTTCCAGATGATGGATTGCACTAATGGTACAATGTAGGTATCCCATATTTATCTCTTTCATTAATTCTATTTGAGTCAAAAAAAAGAGAAAGAAATCAGAATGGGGACAGTGTCAACTTGCAAAGCTTTCAAGTTGCCATGAGCAGGAGGGAGGAAGAACTGATAGAGCTGATTGATTTCCCTAACTGAAGTGCATTCCATACATTCTTCCTGACCGCAATCAGAAGGAGGGTGTTGGATTTCACAGTCAGCCAAAGTGGTTAATTGGAGAATGTGATTTATGACATGGCCAGAGAGGAGGGAAGAGACAGGGTCATAGGGGAACGTAAATCTACGTGGGATTAGTTCTAACTGCATTCGAATATTGCCGAAATGGTGCTCCTAATAAATGACTGTATTTCTTTTGAAGTTCGGCTCATAGCTCATGAATTAATTAGGGCATCTTTTGGAAACTTCACAGACAGCTTCTTGCAAATTCTCTCTTCACAATTTCACAGGTATAGTATGGAGCAGTATTTTTTCCAATTTGGCAACTTTAAGATGCGGTGGACATCAATTCCCAGAATTCTTCCCATTATTCATGTCAGTTCTCCTGGCGACTGGGTAGGAACTGAATTGAAATCCATAAAATTTTAAAATTACCAAGCTGGAAAAACATTACTGCTGGTCTATTTTGCTGAGAACACACAAGTCCACTAGAGGATATCTCTGCACCAACTTCGTCTTCCTGTCTTTATCTTCCCCTTTGCAGATCCTCCCAAAGCTCCCAATGTGTTCCCATTGATTCCTAGTGGCCCAGCCCGGGTGACCAGGGCAACTTCCTCTGACTCCGAAGTTACCATCGGTTGTCTCATCAAAGACTACTTTCCTGGACCAGCCACAGTGCAATGGAATTCAGGCATCATCACCAATGGGATCCACCACTTCCCTCCAGTTCGGCATGTATCCGGCCAGTATACTCACACCAGCCTGCTCACCATCCCCACAAGCCAGTGGGAATCCGACTCATTCTATTGCAACGTAGTACATGAAGCTACCAACTCCAGAATCAACAAATACGTTGGCCGTGAGTCCAGCAAAAATTGCACTTCTCCTTTTTCTTTTCAAAGGGCAGTTGATTTGACCAAAGAAAATTCAACCACTGAGTACAACATTGGAGGGGTGGTGAAAAGATTCAGTATTCAGAAGAAGATCAGATTTCTTTTGGGTTTAATAAGACATACACTGGACAGTTCACATGTATTGTCAACTTGCAAAGCTTTCAAGTTGCCATGAGCAGAAGGGAGGGAGAACTGAAAGAGCTGATTGATTTCCCTAACTGAAGCTACATTCCATAGATGCTTTCTTACCGCAATCAGTAGAAGGGTGTTGGATTTCACAGCCAGCCAAAGTGGTTAATTGGAGAATGTGATTTATGACATGGCCAGGGAGGAGGGGAGAGACAGGGTCATAGGGGAACGTAAATCTATGTGGGATTAGTTCTAACTGCATCCGAATATTGCCAAAATGGTGCTCCTAATAAATGACTGTATTTCTTTTGAAGTTTGGCTCATGGCTCATGAATTAATTAGGGCATCTTTCGGAAACTTCATACGTAAAACAAGCAGGATTTTATCTGGATAAACTCAAAAGCTAACCTAGAATGAAATGAGAAATTAGATGAAGGGTTGAAGGGAAAGGAGAGGAGGGATGTAAGGACTGACATGAATTTTGTATCCATAGAAACCAGCAGGGATTTATCGACTAGGATTAATACCTACCTTCTGCCCCCACGGCCAAAACACCTGTACATACACAGAAATGCCAAGATCGCTTGTGTGGTGGTCAATCTGGAACGGGAAGAGGGGTTGAAAATAAGTTGGACACGCCAGAAGCGAGTCACCACGCATCCAGAATTAGTGGCGGTGACTGAAGAAACCAATGGGACCTTCACTGCTGTCAGCCGCCTCCCTGTCTCTGCCCAAGATTGGGAATCTGGAGAAAATTTCACCTGTTCGGTAGAATATCTAGGTTTGCCTCGTCCCATCGAGAAGACAATTTCCAAGAGCAGAGGTAAGGGGGAAGCAGAGTGGCTCTCTCCACCTTGCGAACCAATGAATTTAATTTCTCTATATTTGGGGGGGCAAAAAAGAAAACATGTGCAATACACGGTGTGCACCTCCAGGCTGGAGATGTAAAGCAGAATGTTCCCTTGTCATCAATGGTCTCCAGTCATGGATCTTTCTTTTGCTTCCTCTTCTGGTCTCCAATCAAGGAGCTTAAACAAAATGAGATACGGATTAGATTCAGATACAGATTAACAGAGTTGGAAGGGACCTTGTAGCAGTGGTGGGTTCCTCCCGGTTCGGCCCGGTTCGGCCGAGCCGGTAGCGGTGACGATATGACATCACCGAACCAGTTCCCTCCTGCCCCCCGCCCCCAATTTTTCGCTGCCTCCCGAGTCCCAGCTGATCGGCTGGAAGGAAAAAAACTGTTTAAACTCTTGCTGTGGGACTTCAAAGGGCTGCCCTACAGCTGATCAGTGTTAAAAGGCAGTGTGGTGGTAGACCAGTGTGCTCGAAAAACAAATGGGTAGACCAGGACGCTCCAAGAACAAATGAGTAGACCGGTACAGTTCTACAAATAGTTAACAGCCTGGTAGACCAGTACCTCTGCTAAATCCTAAAGAATTGTCACATGACCATCAAACTACACCCACAAAAAAAGCCACGCCCACAGAACCGGTAGTAAAAAATTTTAGAACCCACCCCTGCCTTGTAGGTCATCTAGTCCAACACCCCCTCCAGCATTTCTGACAGATGGCAGTCCAATCTCTTCTTGAAAGCCTCCAGTGATGAAGCTCCCACAACTTCTGAAGGCAAATTCTGTTCTATCAGTTGATGGTTCTCACTGTCAGAAAATTTCTCCTTATTTCCAGGTTGAATCTCTCCTTGTTCAGCTTCCATCCATTGTTCTTTGTCTGGCCTTCAGGTGTTTTGGAAAATAATTTGACCCCCTGCTCTCTGTGGCAGCCCCTCAAATATTGGAAGACTGCTATCCTGTCTCCCCTGGTCCTTCTCTATGGGATTCCCTATCATCCCATCCTCGTTTATGAAATCTCTCCAATGTAGACATTGGTTTCCTCTTGTTGTTCTGGAGGATCAGATTAAAAGCCTGAGGGAAATCCTTATACAGCTTTAGATAGACTGAATAATCTTCCAAGGAAATGCACTGTTGGTTTAACCAGCACATCACTGCCCTGCAGACATACATACAGTGTAGAGTATTGTTGGCAGGTGGCCTTTGGAGTTAAGCGGACATGCAACTTCAGAGGAGTTGCATGTCCTGCTGTCAGATGACTCACTGTCCACATTGGCTGAACGTTAAGTTCTAATTTGGCTTACAAGGCTATCTGATTTCCTCAGTCAATTTTTTGTCATTAATATTGTAACTGATTGGTTTATTTCCCAAGTGAACCAGTCCCCAGTGGTTGGCTATCTAGAACAGGGGTCCCCAACCTTTTGGACCTCAGGGACCACCAAGTTCATAATTTTAAATCCTGCGGACCACGAATATGAATCCTTTGCGCTGCTTGCTGAAGCGCCTGGACACCCAATGACAGGATGGGGTACTTCAGGCACTCTCCCTCCTCTCTCTCTCTCTTTTTCATTCTTTCTCTTTCTCTCTCCCTCTTTTATTCTGTCTCTTTCTGTCTCTTTCATTCTCTGTCTCTGTCCCTCATTCTCTCTCTGTCTCTTTCTCTCTCTCTCTCTCATTCTCTCTTTCATTCTCTCTTTCTTTCTCTTTCATTCTCTCTCTCATTCTCTCTCTCTTTCATTCTGTCTCTTTCTCTTTCTTACTTTCTCTTTCATTCTCTCTCTCTCATTCTCTGTCTCTTTCTCTCTCTCTCTCTCTCTTTCTTTCTTTCTCTTTCTTTCTCTCCCTCTCATTCTGTCTCTTTCTTTCTCTCACTTTCATTCTCTCTCTCTCATTCTCTCTTTCATTATGTCCCTTTCTCTTTCTCTCTCTCATTCATTCTCTCTCTCCCATTCTGTCTCTTTCTTTCTCTCTCTTTCATTCTCTCTCTATCATTCTCTCTTTTATTCTTTCCCTTTCTCTCTCTCTCTCATTCTTTCTCTCTCTCTCATTCTGTCTCTCTCTCTCTCTCTCTCTCTCTTTCACTCTCTGTCTCTTCCTCTCTCTCATTCTCTCTCTCTCCCCCTCTCTCACTCTTTCTCTCTCCCCCTCTCTTTCTCTCTCTCTTTCTCTCTCTCTCTCTCCCCCTCTCTCTCTCCCACTCTTTCTCATTCTCTCTCTCTTTCATTCTCTCTCTTTCATTCTCTCTTTCTCTCTTTCATTCTTTCTCTCCTTTTGTCTCTTTCTCTCTTTCTCTCTCTTTTTCTTTCATTCTCTCTTTCTCATTCTCTCTCTCTCATTCTTTCTTTCTCTCTCTTTCTCTCTGTCTCTTTCTCTCTCTCTTTCATTCTCTCTCTCACTCACTCACTGTCTCATTCTGATTCTCTCTCATTCTCTCTTTCATTCTGTCTCTCTCTCTCATTCTCTCTCTGATTCTCTTTAATTCTCTTTCTCATTCTCTGTCTCTTTCTCTCTCTCTCTCATTTTCTCTTTCTTTCATTCTGTCTCTTTCTCTCTCTCTTTCTCTCTCTCTTTCTCTCTCCCCACATCTCTGTCTCCAACTCTCTCTCTCTCTCTCTCTCTCTCTCTCTCATTCCCTCTCTTTCATTCTCTCTTTCCCCCCCCCCCGCTCTCTCCCATCTCATGGGTCAGCCAATGTCTTGGGGCTGAGAGGAAGTCAAGCATCTCCTTGAGAGACCAAGGGCAGGAAGAAACAGCCATGTGATCCAGCTTCGCTCCTACTCTGCAAATCTCCATTCACTGCCCTTCCCTTGCAGGCGAGGAGTGACTGGGAAGGGAGGGCAAGGGGCGGGGACAGCCACTGGTGGGTTCAGCCAACAGGAAGCTACAGCAGGGGGGAGAAACAGCCTGGGGTTGCCGCCACCCATTGCTTTGGCCTGCCTGCACCGCCATCCCCCTCCCCTTGCACCATTACCTCATTCTGGCCGGCAAGGGCTGTGCTGCAAACTTGCAAGTTGCACCAACCTCCCTCTACAGTGGAGATTTACAGACCCACCATGAGCTGGCTGGCCAGTCCCATATTCCAGAGCTCTGGCCATAGCTCATCCTGGAGCAGCTCCTCCCCCTGGGGGCACCGTGGACCACCAAGATTTTCTCGCAGACCACCAGTTGGTGACCACTGATCTAGAATGAATCATGACTTAATACATGGGAACGCATTTGCTGCTACCATTAGTTTATCCTGAGCTCAATTTTATGGGATTTTCTTTTTCTTTCCATGTTCACAAAGAAAAGAGCAAGGCACCCAACATTCACGTCTATCCTCCCATCCCCGGCAATTCACTTGCCATCACTTGCCTCATTCGTAACTTTTACCCAAGTGAAAATGATGTCTTCTGGGAAAAAAATGGAAATGCCATTCCAGAAAACGACTACGTCAACACCCCAGCTGTGAAGGAAAAGAGTGGCGATTCCTACTTCCTGTATAGCAAATTGACAATCTCAGATTCAGGTTGGAATGACGGTAGCTCATTTAGCTGCAAGATTGTCCATGAGGCCCTTGAAACGAAGGTCACCCAGAAGACCATAAAGAAAACCTCCCGTAAACGTTGAAGACTGCCCTCAATGTGCATTGTCCTCCTGGATTGGTCTCTCATATCTTTGTAAATGGTTTACATGCTAATATGTTTTGCTGCTGGCTGAATAAAAGCAAACTCCTCAGAGCTCTCTTAGGTTGTGCTCTTTTCTTCAACCAAATGGGGGACTAGGCCAGGTTGAGGGAGGAATTCTGGAATGAAGAGGAATTTCTCTGGAGAGTAGAACGAAGGCTCAAGGTTGATGCCGGGAGAAAAAGGGGTTTCACTCCTCCCTTATCAGGATCAATTTCAGCTCCAAAGTCCTCGGTCCATATAAGAGCAACCATCCTTCTCACAGCACTTCCAGCAAGGAATCCAACCAGACCAGGGGAATCAAACTCAATTTCATTGAAGGCCCCATCAGGGTTGTGTTTGATTCCCTGGCCGCAACCAGGAAGTGCATGGCCAGGGGGCATGGCCAAGGTGGGTGTGGTCAGGGTGGGTGTGGCCATGGGCATGACATGGGTCTTGTGTCAGAGGAGGCACCTGTGGTAGCCATGTGCTAAGGCAGACTTCCCCAAGACCCTTCCTCACTCTCATTATAACCTTCCTTCCTTCCTTCCTTCCTTCCTTCCTTCCTTCCTTCCTTCCTTCCTTCCTTCTCTTCTTTTTCCTTCCTTCTTCCTTCTAATGTCTTCTTCCTTCCCCTTATTTTCTTTATTTACTTCCTTGTTCCCTTCCTATATTTTTTTTCTTTTCCTCAGTTTTTCCTCTTTCCTTTCTCCTTTCCTTTTTTTTTAAAAGAAATTTTATTGAATTTATAAACATATATATATATTTACATTTCCATTAATATCAGACGTGCAGTGTTTTTAACTATATACAAAATATATTTCTGGTGTCATTTAGGTTACTTTTTACTTTTATTTAACACACCTTTTTCTCTTCCTTTCATTTTATCGTTCATCCACTCATACCACCTTCCCCACACGGTATAGTATTCTGCATTCTCATCATCGTTTATTTCATGGGTTAATTTGGTCATCTCTGCGCACGCCAGTATTTTCCTAGTTATAAGCTCTTCTGGGTTTTCTCTTTCCAATATTGTTTCTCCTTTCCTATCCCTTCTTGCATGCTCAAATGCAAAAGGGGAAACGTTTCTCCTTTTGTTTTGTCTTTAGTTCGTTTTGATAGTCCTCGGCCAGACAAAATGGGGCATGAGTGAGTCTGCATACGCCCCCCCCCCCACACACCCCGTTTTGGCTAGCAGAGGCACCACAGGCTGGTCCTTTCCTATTTCCAGGCTGGTCCCGTGGGCGAGATCTAAGCACCCCGCAGGCCGGAATTTGACATCCCTGATCCAGACCAAGTAGCCTAAATTCTTACTCGTCCAGATATTTGAACCCATCAATCTCCTCCATGCTCCTCACTTCTTTCAATTTGTATGTGCAATAAGAAGTATGGAAAGTATGCACTTTCCCTTATGCGTTGGCTGTGGTCTTCTGACAAAGGAATCCAATTCATTCAATTACAATTTTTTAATTTTCCCATTAAGTTTCTCTTTCATTTCTCTTTGTCCTCCCCCCTCCCCATCCTAACCCTTTCAGCCAACCAGAGCTGAATGGGAGGTTCTTGGAAGTAATAAATAATAATCCTTTGAACGTCCTTACAATTGATTTTATTTTTTTATTTATTTATATGCCGCCCTTCTCCGGAGACTCAGGGCGGCTTCCAAGCATTAAGCAATATCCTTCATACTTTTGTATATTTATACAAAGTCAGCTTATTGCCCCCACAAACTGGGTCCTCATTTAACCTACCTTAGAAAGGATGGAAGGCTGAGTTAACCTTGAGCCTGGTAAGATTCGAACCTGCAGTAATTGCAGGCAGCTGTGTTAATAACAGGGTGCTTTAAACCACTGATTTTAATCACGTCTATGTGCAGTGGTAGCTACCATGGCTGGCTAAACTACTTGGCAGTTTACAACACAGCAATAAAATTATATTGCGTTATAAATATATAACACAAAAAACAACAAAACAATAAAATAGAGCAGTATCGCTCAAGCTTGGCAACTTGACAATGACTGGACTTCAACTCCCAGAATTTCCCAGCTGTTTTGCCCCAGCTATGGACCTCAAAGAACACAGCACACACAAAGTTTGTACAAAACTTAATTTACTAAAATAACTCAGTCTTTTTCAAAACAAAGGCTGTTAATAAACTTTCTTAACAGCCTACAAGAAACCAAAGATAAAGTAATCACAATCTTACTAAGGTTGGCAGAAAGCCCAGAAGTAATTTGCAGAGAATCCAGACGCGAAGGAGAGTGAACTAAAGTTGTTCCCTACAAATTGCTTCAGTCGGCGTTCCTCCTTAAATAGGCTAAGGGAGTGGCCAATTAGCCCCAAACCTTACTCTCGAGGAGACCTCCTCCTGAGGAGCCACTCCTGCCTTTTGGCAGCTCTGTGCACCCGTGCATCGAGAAGAGGCTCCTCCTCTTCATCCTCTTCACTTAAAGGAGCTTCTGGAGGTTCTGAAGGCCCTGGCTGAATCCCTGCCTCTGGCACCACATCTTCTCCAGCCTCCTCACTGTCTGACTCGAGTGCCAGCTGCACAGGCTGCTGGTGCAGCACCACACCAGCCTCCTCGCTGTCAGAATCACCTACAATTTGCACAGGCCGCTGACGGGCCACAACACCAGCCAAGAAGGGGAATTCTGGGAGTTGACATCCACAGATCTTCAAATTGCCAATTTGAAAGACACTGATTTAGACAATACACAAACATTTTGCCCAATTAGTTCCTTTTTTTAAAAAAAATACTCTTATAAGAATTCAGTAAATCTGCTGGAGAAAGAAAATTCTTGACGATCCTCTTCTAACAATGCGATCAGGACTCAAAAAAAAGAAAAATTCACCTTGATACATCAGAGAGAAAAAAATCCACAATGCCAAAGTGCCCCAAAGATTACATAATCTTTATTTACATAAAAAGCAGAAAATGCTCAAACAACCCTTGCAATAAAAATAAAATTATTATAATTAAAATATAGTTACACATAATTAAATTATTAATAGATTTAATAAATAAAAATAAAAATTTCAAATGCTAATTTCAAAACCAAAAAAAGAAAGAAAGTTGATTTCCAAGCATATTATATCAAACTCCCATAAATCTTTGAAAATAAACATGAAGACTTCTCCGTTTCTCATGATATCACAAACAAATTTAAAAACATCTAGGTTTGTCAAGTACTGCAAAGTAATCACATTCCCCAATTTTTCTAAGAATCTGCTCTCTGGGAGCTGAAGGGCAATACAGAAGGAACCTGGAAACAAGGAACAATGCGAAATAGATACAGAGGCCAAATATTTTTGGAATTTTGGATTTTGAATTAGGTCATCTAGTACAGATAGTCCTCCATTTACAACAATTCATTAGTGACCATACAATGGTAAAACGGCACTGAAAAAAAGTACCATATGATCGTTTTTCACACTTATGACCATTGCAGCATCCTGATGGTGTTTGGTGAAGATGCGACATTTATAGCTGGTCCTTGGCTTACAACCATAATTGAGCCCAGAATTATGGTTGTAAATCATGGCAGTCATTAAGTGGATCACCCCATGAGCGTTTTTTGTTGTGGCCTTGTGGCCTATAGGAAGACAATTCGAACCCCAGTTCTAGATTGGGACTCTCTACACACAGTCACTCATGCCCTTGTCACCTCCCGTTTGGACTACTGTAACGCTCTCTACATGGGGCTCCCCTTGAGGTGCACTCGGAGGCTCCAACTGGCGCAGAGTGCGGCCGCACAGGTGGTTAGGGGAGCAACGTGGAGTTCCCATGTAACACCTCTCCTGCGCAAGCTGCACTGGCTCCTGGTGGTCTTCCAAGTGCGCTTCAAGGTTTTGGTTATCACCTTTAAAGCGCTCCATGGCTTAGGACCTGGTTACTTACGGGACTGCCTGCTACCACCAATAGCCTCCCACCGGCCAGTACGCTCCCATTGAGAGGGGCTCCTCTGGGTGCCGTCGGCCAAACAATGTTGACTGGCGGCCCCTAGGGGGAGAGCCTTCTCTGTGGGGGCCCCTACCATCTGGAATGAGCTCCCCCCAGAGATACGGAGGATCCCGGATCTGCGCACCTTCCGTCGCGCTCTCAAGATTTTCTTATTTCATCAAGCTGGCCTGGCCTAAATCTTTTCCCCTTTTTAAATGTAAATTTTAATTTGTTTTTAAATTATGGGGTATTTTAAATTTGTTCAGCCAAATTATTTAATTCGTTTTTGTTCTATTTTAAATTTTTGTATTTATGTGTTTTATCCTGTGGCTGTTCACCGCCCTGAGTCCTTCGGGAGTAGGGCGGTATAGAAATTTAATAAAATAAATAAATAAATAAAAATTAAGTCAACATACTTGCAAGTAGATCTCAGATCCCAACCAGGAGTCTCATTGTCATAGCTGGGACTTTAGGATTAATTCTCATCAACTTTCTCTTCCATTCTCAGTAAATTGTGCATTCCTTGAGCAGAGGTTAACAAACATTTCTGAACTGATTAGTCTTCACTTCACTTAATAACTGGAAATCCATAATCATCTTTGTTGCTCTTCTCTGCTCTCTTTCTAGAGTCTCAACATCTTTTTTACATCGTGGCGACCAAAACTGAATTCAATATTCCAAGTGTGGCCTTACCAAGGCATTATAAGGTGGTATTAACACTTCACGTGACCTTGATTCTATCCCTCGGTTTATGCAGCCCAGAACTGTGTTGGCTTTTTTGGCAGCTGCTGCACACTGCTGGCTCATATCTAAATGGTTGTCCACTAGGACTCCAAGATCCCTCTCACAGTTACTACTATTAAGCAAGGTACCACATATACGGTACCTGTGCATTTTGTTTTCTTCCCTAAATGTAGAACCTTACTTTTTCAATGTTGTATTTCATTTTGTTAGATAGCACCCAATGTCCATGTTTGTCAAGATCCTTCTGTACCTTGAGCCTATCTTCTGGAGTTTTGGCTATTCCTGCCAGTTTGGTGTCATCTGCAAATTGGATGAGTTCCCCATCTATCCCCTCGTCCAAGTCTTTGATGAAGATGTTGAAGAGTACCGGGCCTCAAACAGAGCCCTGGGGTACTCCACTGCATACTTCCCTCCATGTAGATGCAGTTCCATTGAGGACTACACGTTGAGTGCAGTTGGTCAGCCAGTTTATTTATTTATTTATTTTATTTATTTTAAATTTATATACCGCCCTTCTCCCTGAGGACTCAGGGCGGTGTACAGCCAGAATTAAAAAACATAAAATACAAATATTAAAAAACAATTAAAATATATATAAATTTGGCCCAAAATTAAAAATACAAACCAATTAAAACATTTAAAATTTCTTCTTAAGCCAGCCCGGCTTGCTGGAAAAAGTGGGTTTTAAGGGCACGGCGGAAGGCACTAAGGTCTTGGATTCTCCTTATCTCTGGGGGCAACTGATTCCAGAGGGTAGGTGCCCCCACAGAGAAGGCCCTCCCCCTGGGGGTCACCAGCCTACATTGATTGGCTGATGGCACCCTGAGGAGGCCCTCTCTGTGGGAGCGCACGGGACAATGGGAGGTCGTCGGTAGCAGCAGGCGGTCTCGAAGATAGCTAGGCCCGATGCCAGTTACGAATCCATCTGGTGTTGATGCTGTCTAACCCACATTTTTCTATTTTATCTAGTAGGAGGTTATGGTCTACTTTATCAAATGCTTTACTGAAGTCCAAGTAAATTATATCGACAGCATTCCTCTGGTCTACTAATTTGAGTCAGCTCTAAGATTATCCACTGGGGTCTCCCTACCAATTAGGTCTAAGCTAATAACAAGCACTAATTGGAGCAGACGGCATCCTTTCGGAAAAATGTTTTTTGGTGGCTATCCATACTGAATCCTACCTTTGTCTTACAGCCAGATTTATGTCCATAAAGATTCCAGGCTTATGATGAAATAGTCAGAAGGTGGAGAAATGGATGTTGGAGAAACGCCAAGACTGACGTCTCTTTCTCATTTCACAGAGACAACCGTGTCCATCGAGAACAATGACAGTACAAAGAAGGAGAAAGAGATGAAGCCTTTGTGGATGACCATCATGATGGTCTACATAGTCTTCCTGATCAGCATCTGTTATGGAGCCATTACTACGTTGTTCAAAGTAAGTAAAGAGAGATGACGGGAAACAAATAGCTTTGCATCTTGGCTACAGGAGGGAAAGATGCGGAGATCAAGATTTGGGGAACAGAAGACTAAGAAAAGAAGAAATGGTGGATAGACTGAGTAGCCTTTATGGTTTGGGATGGCTCCAATTGATGGCGGGGGAATAGATGGAAGATATGAAGGAGAAGGGTTGGGGAGAAGACAACTTTTAGTCATCTCAACTTTAGTCACTGTATGGCCAATCAGGGAGGTCTGATGAGTGGAGGCCTTGATCTCAGGTTGGCACTGATAAAATCCAAATCCATGACTTGGTTGTGAATCATTGAACACAGCTCTGTGTTATCAAAACATGTTTAGGTGAGCATGGGACAGTTGCCCTGCCTGACATGTACCTTCACATGTTTATGGCCCTTCACCAACCATGAATCTAGGTTAGTGCAGGAGGGATGGCAATGGACTTCTGAGATATTCTGGGGTCAATGATGAGACTTGCTATAGATGGATAATCATTGCCTCTACAGATAGGTCTCATTAAGCCCCCACAAAGTTGTCACTAAGGGAAACCCCAACTGTGGCCTAACCCAATCTTACTTCAGCTTTCCTTTACTTTATAGGCCAACAAAGATCTGAATTACAAGGAATTGTTGGATAATCACCAACTTCATGGAGATGCCTATCAACTCTTTTTCTATGCCTTCATTTGATTTATATTGGTTAAGATAATCTTATGATTTTATTATTCCCACCTCTTGTAAACAGGTCAAATGGATTGCATCTGCTCTGAAGAAGCTGAAGAAGAAGCCAATTTGCCTCTTCTAATCTAAGAATCTAATTCAGCAAAGAACATAGCACCAATTTCTGGAGACTCCGTTCCATGTCTTTCCAGCCCACCCTTCTCCTTGACACATCAGTTCTCTTCTTTTGATAGCAATAGCAATAGCACTTAGACTTATATACCACTTCATAGTGCTTTTACAGCCCTCTCTAAGCGGTTTACAGAGTCAGCATACTGCCCCCAACAATCTGGGTCCTCATTTTACCCACCTCAGAAGGATGGAAGGCGGAGTCAACCTTGAGCCTGGTGAGATTTGAACCGCCGAATTGCAGCTAGCAGTCAGCTGAAGTAGCCTGCAGTACTGCACTCTAACCACTGCACCACCTCGGTGCAGGCTGCCACAGAGAGGAGGGGGTCAAACTATTTTCCAAAGCACCCGAAGGCCAGACAAGGAATAATGGATGGAAACTGAACAAGAAGAGATTCAACCTGGAAATAAGGAGAAATGTTCTGACGGTGAGAACAATCCACCCGTGGAACAGAAGTTGCCTTCAGAAGTTGTGGGAGCTTCATCACTGGAAGCTTTCAAGAAGAGACTGGACTCCCATCTGTCAGAAATGGCTTGGGCGGGACATTGGACTACATGACCTACAAGCTCCCTTCCACCTCTGCTAATCTGTATCTGTATATTGCTCCTTATTGCTCCTATCATTCCCTTTCCCCAAAGTCACTGTGGTTGGATTCCAGATTGGAAGCACTGTTGCTATTCTTCATATTCTATATTTTTGTCATCTTCATTGTATTTGCTAGAAAATAATAAAACAAACTGAAATAAAATACAAGTGTATCAGTGTGTGAGGTGCAAAGGAGGAAATGTAGAAATTATTATTGTTGTTGTTTTATTTGTTTTATCCATATAACATTCAATTTTCATGAAACAGTCTGTGGTCTGGGTACAGTTAGGCTTAAATAGTCATAATGCACATCTCTGTAATAATAATAATATTATAATAATACAATAACAGTAATACTTAACATTTAACAACTCTTCACTTAAACATTTTCGCTTTTTATAGCTCCTCCTTTCTAACTTCAGCTTCTATTGTCTATTGCCATTGATAAAATATGTCCCATATCAAAAAATATTCAGTTTCTTCTTTATCCTTAATAGGAAGCGTTAATCTATCCATTTCTGCACATTCTAATGTTTTCTTATTTACATTCCCCTCAGACGGCACCTCGTCGTTTTTCCATTGTTGCGCAAATACAATTCTAGTTGCGATTAGTATATGCAAGATCAAATATGTAGTCTTTTTATCATATTTTTTTCTGGTAGAATGCCCAACAAGAATATCTCTGGTTTCAGATCTATATCTTGCTTTGTCATTTTTTCCAGCCATGTATGTATTTTCATCCAATATTTTTTTTTTATAAAACGTTTTTTATTTTTTTAACACAAACATGTAATACATCAGTCCTTCCGTGTGTCATCTCGGTGTTTCTTCGGTGACTTTGTTGCTCCTCCTCTTCTTATTTCTTCCTTAATAAATCCCATTTCTCTATTTCAATATTTCCCCCCAAGTACATATATTTAATGTAACTTTCTCCTGTTTGCTTATCAAATCCTTTATCTATATCTCTTTTCTATCCAATCATAAAATTTCCCCCATATTTTAAAATATTCCGTATCCACTTTTTCTTTAATCGTTAAAGTTAATCTACCGTATTTTCCGTTGTATAAGACGACTGGGCGTATAAGACGACCCCCGACTTTTCCTGTTAAAATATAGGGTTTGGGCTATACTCGCTGTATAAGACTACCCCTCTTCCAACGCACACCAAATAAAAATTAAAAAACATCAACTGGCTCACCCACAATGTAAAAGCAGCTGTGCTAGACCCAAAATGGCCCCTGCAACAAGCAGGAACCTCACACAGCCACAAAAAGCCCAAAAACCCAACTTTCACACTTTACACACACAAAATTCCACATGCAGCTTTGTGAGATTTTGTGTGTTTGTGTAGTTAGAGTGAAACACTACAGAAACACACTAAATCTCAGAAAACTGCACAAATATTATTTTATTTTATTTTTATTTTTATTTTTATATGAAAGCTAAATTTAAAACTTCCTAAACTTTAAATGGCTAGGTCTAAAAAAGAACAACTAAAAAAAAACCCCAATTAACTATTTTTTTAAAGCTCCCAAAGGGGAAAAAAACTTACCGAATAGAACAGGGGTCTCCAACCTTGGCAACTTTAAGACTTGTAGACTTCAACTTCCAGAATTCCTCAGCCAGCTTTGCTTTGCTGGATGAGGAATTCTGGGAGTTGAAGTCCACAACTCCCTGCCTGCTTGATTGCAGGCAGGGAGTTGCTTGCTGATGGAATGGATTCAGGCAAGCGAAGCAAGGCAAGCGTTGCGACTAGCAGCTAAGGTAAGCAAGCTGGAGGGGGAAAACTTTTTTCCTTTTCCATGGCTCTGGCAATCCCAGCTGAGTTGCCTGATTAGCAGGCAACTCAGCTGGGATCGTCAGAGCTTGGATCGTCAGAGCCTTTCGGGCTGGTCTGCCTGGTTACAGGAGAACGAACCTGGTGTATAAGATGACCCCCGACTTTTAAGAAGATTTTCATGTGTTAAAAAGTCATCTTATATGCCGGAAAATACGGTATTCATCTCTGCGCAGTCCAAATTTTTTCTAATTACTTCCCCTTCTAAAGGGATTTTCTCTGCTTTCCATCTTTGCGCAAATACTATTCTTGCTGCAGTTATTATATGTATAATCAAATATACATTTTCTTTACTAATTTTCTCTGTTAGGAACAATTCAGACTTTAAATCAATACGTTGTTGAGTCATTTCTTCTATCCATGCCTTAATTCTGCTCCAATAATCTCTAGCTTCTGGGCAAGTCCACCACGTATGATAATAAGAACCTGGTATTTGGTGGCATTTCCAACATTTAGCTGATTTATCTTTAAATGTTTTTGCCAATTTTTCAGGCGGCCTATGCCATCTATAAAACATTAGATACAAATTTTCCTTATATGCAGTTGACGTCGGCAATTTAATATTTCTATCCCATAGTTTCTGCCATTTATCTAACTCTATTGCATCTCCAAAATTTTTAGCCCAGGCAATCATTGTCTCCTTTACCTGCTCACTTTCAAGTTTGATATTTAATAGCTAACAATATAATTTCTTTATCAGTTTATCATCTGCTCCAGTTAATATCTGGTCTAATTCTGTTAACTCTTTATTAAAACCATATATTTTAGCATCTTTCACATAACGAGATTGTATCTGCATAAGTGACCACCATACAATCAGTGCCTATCCCTTGGCTACTGAGATTTGAGCTTTTTAATAACCTATGTCAGTGATGGCTAACTGTTTTGCCGTCGCGTGCCAAAGGCAGGGTAAGCGCAGGGGAGGGATCATGCACACGGGTGTCCACACCCATAATGCAATGGCCCTCTGCGGGCCCCAGCCCCTGCGAATGCACATATGACCCTCCCATGTTTCTCCCACCCACCCCCCGGGCATGCATATGCTCGCCCGCTCCCCTGCGCATGGATGTGTGACCCCCTGGGTCCCATTTTGGGCCTAGTAGGCCTCCCTGAAGCCTCCTGGGACCAAAAACAGGCTGCAGGGGGGGCACGCTGCATAAACACACAAACATACCAACACGTGGCCCGTTTTGGCACGGGGGCGCACCATTCCCCCCATGCTCTCCCTGGCCCCTGTGCATGCATGTGAGGGAACCCCCCTCGCACATGCGCGTGCATCTCCCACATGCACCCCACTCCCGTGCCAGAGATCTGAAAATCAGCTGGCCGGTGGGAGGCGCATGAGTGGAGCTGAGCTGGCCGACAGCTCCTGTGCCCGCAGAGAGGGCTCCCGTGCCACCTGTGGCACTCGTGCCATAAGTTTGCCAACACGGACCTATGTCTAGGTCAGTGATTTAATCATACCAGTGATTTATTTATCTATAAATCACTGGTAAATTAAATAATTACATATCACTACTCTCCCATAAGATTTATGCACATTTAAGAAGGCAGGGTCAGTTTGTTTCATGCCCCAGGATGCCTTTCCCTCCTATTTAGGCAAAAACATAAGAATATTTATTGATTAGTGAAAGATTTTATACAATAAACCATAAAAACAGAAACAATGATCTGGAAATTATTCATTCAGGTTCACTTTGACAGCTTTGAAAATAGATAACTAAATGAAGGAAATGGGGAAGTTTTCTGTGGTTGATGCTTTTTTGTTGTTTTTAAGATGGCACCTTTTGGATCCCAAATATATCTCTTGGACCTACAGGCTCTGGGTTGTTGTTTTTTTTCACACCTTCACGCTAGCTCAAAGAACATGACTAGTTGGAAAATAAAATCTTTTTTTGGGGACATTCTTTAAGAACAAAGTGAGGGGAAAGTTCTGAGACAGATTACAGATTGGCACTGACCCAGGCTGGCCCTTGACTTGGTAAGTACAAAATTCATCAAAATTGGGGGGCTTTGGAAGACGAAAATATAGAAAGTTAAGAGAACTGGGGTCCATGTTTCCATACGGTTGGTATTATTTTTTGGTATCAGGCTTAGAACAATGTATCAGGTAGTTGCATTCCATCACAATCCTTTACAATCTCAGGTGAGCTTCGCAATTGGGAACTGGGCAATTCGCCATACTGCCAGAAGTCCTTATGTTCCAGATTATAGTCCAACTTCAGTTGGGTTTGGCAGATACTCAATCTCATGTTAGGAGATCCGTTGATAAGATTTATTCAGTCGAACTAATCAAGGAGAGAAGCAACTTAGAAGTGAGAAGACATTTCCTGACAGAACAATTAATCGGTGGAACAACTTGGCTCCAGAAGTTGTGAATGCTCCAAGATTGGAAGTTTTTAAAGATGGGATTAGACAACCATTTGTCTGAAATGGTTTAGGGTTTCCTGCCTGAGCAGGGGGTTGGAATAGAAGATCTCCAAGGTCCCTTCCAACTCTGTTTATTCTATTCTACTGTACTCTATTCTACTCTACTCTACTCTACTCTACTCTACTCTACTCTACTCTACTCTACTCTACCCTACCCTACTCTACGCAGAACAGCCTGGGGCTGGAGAGGATTTGGTTGACAGCCTCAACCAAACTCAACTGAAATATGTTTTAATGCTCAGTGTGCAGGAGGAGACAAGCTGAGGATGCAACCGTAGGTCTCCTAAAGTATCACTATCCTGATACTTAATTGGGAAGTTTAGACCTTACCAAACAACTCCAAGTTCTCCTAGTGAAAACCAAAGGAGAGAATTGGTAGCCTCAGCTGAGAGCTGGGATGAACTAACTCAGCAACTGGTCCAAGCTTGATCCTCAACTGGTAGTTCTGGGGCTCAAATTTGAATCGTAGGATATGGGTGCCTTGGAGTAGCTCATCTAGGAGGTTCGGCTGGCAAAAATTCAAAGGAGAGAATTGGTAGCCTCAGCTGAGAGCTGGGATGAACTAACTGTAGTTAGTTCATCCCAGCAACTAGTCCAAGCTTGATCCTCAACTGGTAGTTTTTGGGCTCAAATTTGAATTGTAGGATATGGGTGCCTTGGAGTAGCTCATCTAGGAGGTTCGTGAAAATTCAAAGGAGAGAATTGGTAGCCTCAGCTGAGAGCTGGGATGAACTAACTCAGCAACTAGTCCAAGCTTGATCCTCAACTGGTAGTTCTTGGGCTCAAATTTGAATTGTAGGATATGGGTGCCTTGGAGTAGCTCATCTAGGAGGTTTGTGAAAATTCAAAGGAGAGAATTGGTAGCCTCAGCTGAGAGCTGGGATGAACTAACTCAGCAACTAGTCCAAGCTTGATCCTCAACTGGTAGTTCATGGGCTTAAATTTGAATTCTAGGATACGGGTGCCTTGGAGTAGCTCATCTGGGAGATCAGTTACTTTGGGGTTGAGTGTTAGAACAAAGAAAACCTGTTCCATTTTGGATCCTTCACTGTGTCATCTGTCATCCTAGCTGAATTCAGAATTTAATCAGGCTAGTGGGTCGAAACAGGCTACGTGGGTTTCTAGCCCAGCTGTGAGATTTCTGATGAATGCTAAGGTTTAAAGAAAGTAGCAAAGGAGTAAGAATATTATTTGGGAGCCAAGCCAGCTATTTCAGTGAGGAGAGGAGATGTTTGAAGGTTCAGGAATTGGAAGGAATGGAGTTTTTTTGGAGTCGGGTCCCAGCCTAAAGCTCTACCCCAAAAATTCTCCACTTCTGAGTTGAGTAGCTAAGATAGCTTGCAAAGGTGTCTCCTACAAAACTGTAGGATCAACTGTGTGGTACGTGAGCTGCTAGCTGAGTCCAGAGTTCAGATCAGTTAGTAGGCAGAGGGGAGCTAACTGGATACCTGAGCACATCTGTAAGGGGTTGTTTTTTTTTTTTTGGTTCTTCTATGGGTATTTTAGGTTCAGATAAGCTAGTGAAGAGCAAAGAGGCCATTTAAGTGAATGTTCAATGCCCGCTCACATCTGGGAGATTCTAAAATCCCTAATAAACCCAACTTTAGGACTCATTCATGATGAGAAAAGCTTCCAGCAAAAAGGTTTTAATTCCCAGCTATGCTTTGCTGGTTCCTCAGAGATGGTTCTGCTCAGGTGAGCTGGAGGAAGTTCTGGACTGCTTCTAAAAATTTCCATCCTCCCAGATTACAGCCTGACTAGGTGGCTCAGTGGCTAAGACACTGAGCTTGTCGATCAGAAAGGTCGGCAGTTCGGCGGTTCGAATCCCAAGTACAGGTTTCCTGCATGAGCAGGGGATTGGGATAGATGACCTCCAAGGTCCCTTCCAACTCTGTTACTGTTACTAATGCTAGTGCAGCTATAGTGCAGCTACTGGGCTACAGAAAGAGGCACCTCGCATCTTGGCCAGTGGAAGAGAGAAGGAGAAAGCATGAGCCCCAGTCAGATTTCAGATGGAAAATTGATGGATTGGGATTAGGTTGCAACGATGCTTGATGATTGGCTGGGAAAGTTTTGGGCACCTTCTGCAGAATGTAAGCTCCAGACTAGGTGCAGGAGAACCAAGAACCTTCTTGGTTAAAGCCTATTCATTTAGGAGATCTTTAATCTCCCAGATGATTATATGTACATCTATACAGTATAGGTGGTCAATAGTAGCTACTGTGAGAGGGATCTCATTGCTCAATAGTAGCTACTGTGAGAGGGATCTTGGAGTCCTAAGATAGGAGCCAGCCATCTGCAGCAGCTGCCAAAAAAGCCAACACAGTTCTAGGCTGCATAAACAGAGGGATAGAATCAAGATCACGTTAGAAGTGTTAATACCACTTTATAAGGCCTTGGTAAGGCCACACTTGGAATACTGCGTCCAGTTTTGGTCGCCACAAAGTAAGAAAAGATGTGAGTGCAGAGATCTAGAGTGCTCTAGAAATAGTGCAGAGAAGAGCAATCAAGATGATTAGGGGACTGGAGGCTAAAACATATGAAGAACGGTTGCAGGAACTGGGTATGTCTAGTTTAATGTAAAGAAGGACTAGGGGAGACATGATAGCAGTGTTCCAATACCTCAGGGGCTGCCACAAAGAAGAGGGAGTCAAACTATTCTCCAAAGAACCTAAGGGCAGAACAAGAAGCAATGGGTGGAAACTAATCAAGGAGAGAAGCAACTTAGAACTAAGGAGAAATTTAGAACAACTAATAAGTGGAACAACTTGCCTCCAGAAGTTGTGAATGCTCCAACACTGGAAATTTTTAAGAAGATGTTGGATAACCATTTGTCTGAAGTGGTGTAGGGTTTCCTGCCCCCTGTCCAGGCAGAAAATGGAAGGCAGGTTGATAATAATGTTTTTTTCTGCAGTTCTAATTATCCTCTGAAGTCTGTGTTTGTCTTGTCTGCTTGCAGAGCTAAACCAGACAGTTATGGAGGTGCAGATGACAGACTCTATAATTCCTCTGTAGAACTGGATCAGCAGCTCCTTGGGTAGTTTGAGCTTCCTGAGTTGGTGCAGAAAGAACATTCTTTGGTGTGCTTTTTGGGGGACATTTTTGATGTTAGGTGTCCATTTTAAGTCTTGAGATATGAATGCATGTAGAAACTTGAAGGTCTCTATTGTTGATACTGTGTTGTCTAGTATTGTAAGAGGTGGTAATATAGGAGGGTTTCTCCTAAAATCTACCACTATTTCTACCAGTTTTGAGTGTATTTAGTTCAAGATTGTTCTGGTTGCACCACAAGGTTAGATGTTCATTTTTTTTCCCCCATTGCAACTTGCTTGCTTCTTTCCTTAAACCCTGGAAGGCTACGATAGTCAAAAACAGAGCTGAATAAGAGGAAGTAACAATTAGGTTTTCAAGACGGGAACCTGTTTTGAGATGCATCAACTGAGGAGGTTTTCTTCTATGTGGGGCTCCTTGGTGGTCTCTGAGCTTGGTTGTTTTCTTGCAGATATTTCATTACCCAACTAGGTAACATCTTCAGTGTAGTATGGAGTGGGGTTTGCTCTCAGTTTATATTCTAGGAGCTTGCCGTGACAGTGTTTGTAACAGACGTCTTGGTGAGGGTTTTTTTTTTGGTTGGGCTGTTTACTGTTAGCTTGTTTGCCTGTTTCTTGATTGGGGTATTGCTTATTTGATTGTTGTTAATCTTGGAGTTACTCCATACTCATTTGGAGGCTGACTGCTGGTAGAGAAGTGCTTCCGTCTTCTTCTTCCACTTCTTCTAAGAAATCATCTTTCGTATTGGTGCTCTATGACTTGATCTATGATGTGTCTAAGCCAAAGTGAACGTCTGTTTCATCCCATAGATTTTATCTCCTTGTAATTACGTGTTTCTTTCACTTTACTGGTTCCCCAAAGTTCTTCTCTTTCTGGAAATCGACTGCTAAATTGCATTCAAAGTCATAAATATGAAGAAGGGTTGCAGGAACTGGGTCTGTCTACTTTAATGAAAAGAAGGACGAGGGGAGACATGATAGCAGTGTTCCAATATCTCAAGGGCTGCCACAAAGAAGAGGGAGTCAAGCTATTCTCCAAAGCACCTGAGGGCAGAACAAGAAGCAATGGGTGGAAACTAATCAAGGAGAGAAGCAACTTAGAACTAAGGAGGAATTTCCTGACAGTTAGAACAATTAAATCAGAGGAACAACTTGCCTCCAGAAGTTGTGAATGCTCCAACACTGGAAGCTTTTAAGAAGATGTTGGATAACAATTTGTCTGAAGTGGTTTAGGGTTTCCTGCCTAAGCAGGGGGTTGGACTAGAAGACCTCCAAGGTCCCTTCCCACTCTGTTATTCTATTCTATTCTAAATGTAAAATGAAATGTTCAGACTGAGGTATTATGGGATTTGTCTCCAAAGGGATCTGCTTTGTCCATCAGTAAAAAAGAAGGCCGATGAATGAGATGGAATTGACCTTCTTAACTCAAAGAATAAGGTTTGGGATAGTGTTTTGTTGGTAGGAGAGTCACCTGTAAGCTGGGTAGTAAATTGGTGTAATAAATTGGTTTAGTAAAATAAAGATGTATCTATGGAGATTTTCAGTCATCCAGGTCCACGGTAGTCCCAGAGGCTCTTTTTCAAGAGGCAACTGGACTTTCTAGTTTTTCTTGGAAGATGTTTCGCTTCTCATCCCAGAAGCTTCTTCAGATGAGAAGCAAAACGTCTTCCAAGAAAAACCAGAAAGTCCATTTGCTTCTTGAAAAAGCACTTTTGCGATAAAATAAAGGAGTTTCCAATTCAAAACCCCTTTTCCCTTCACAAGGAAGAGGCCTCATAGCCATTGCTTTAGATTCTGTGCCTCTTGAGCGAAACAAAATCCTTTTTCTTTCTCTTGACCTTTGCCCTTTACCACAAAAAATATGGCACCACATTCGTCGTACGATTGCCTCAATTTCATTTGGGGAACAAAATATAACACCTTCTGTCTGATTGTAAGTAGCTACGTGGCAGTGGTGAAATCCAAATTTTTTTTGCTACCGGTTCTGTGGGCATGGCTTGGTGGGTCTGGCTTGTTGGGTGTGGCAGGGGAAGGATACTGCAAAATCTCCATTCCCACCCCACTCTGGGGCCACCAGAGGTGGTATTTGTTGGTTCTCCAAATTACTCAAAATTTCCGCTTACCGGTTCTCTGAACTGCTCAAAATTTCCGCTACTGGTTCTACAGAACCTGTCAGAACCTGCTGGATTTCACCCCTGCTATGTGGAACTCAAAAAGCTAAACTTTCCTTCCTTGCAGAATGCAGGTCGTCCTCAAATTATAACCACAGCTGAGCCCAATGTTTTTGTGGCTCAGCGAGACAGATGTTAAGTGAATTTTGCCCCATTTTACGACCTTTCTGGTCAGAGCAGTTAAATAAATCACCACAGTTCTTTTGAAGTTAGTAACGTAGTTGTTGCGAATCTGGCTTCCCCCACTGACTTTGCTTGTCAGAAGGTTGCAAAAGGTGATCCCATCACCCTAGGACAGGGGTGGGCAAATGTGGCCCTTTTACAACCTGTGGATTTCAACTCCCAGAATTCCTGAGACAGCCAAGTTGGCTCAGGAATTCTGGGAGTTGAAGTCCACAGGTCATAAAGGGGCCATATTTGCCCACCCCTGGACTAGGACACTGCAACCTTCATAAATAGGAGCCAATTACCCAGTGTCCGAATGTAGATCACATGATCAATGTCGTAAGTGTGAAAAATGGTCGTAAGTCCCCTTTTTCAGTGCCATTGTAACTTTGAACGGTCACCAAATGAGCTGTGGTAAATTGAGAATACTACCTGTATCAGCATTTCCAAATTCTGAAACTAAAGGCCTTAAGGAGAAACAAGGATGTGAATATATTGCAAATTCAGCAAATGAATAACCTCAATTTGGCTTTCCTGAAAACAAAATTCTACACCTCATAACGTCAAAAATACGCTTGTGGTCTTTCTCTCTTCCGTGCACTAATTAAATTTTGTATTTCAGGTGATTCCAGATGGTGGAACTCACCAATGGCACGATGCAGTTCTTCCGCATTTATGCCTCTCGTGAAATCTATCTGAAGACTCAAATCAAAATGGCGGGGCCACTGTTTCTAGCAAATTCTCTCTCCATAAACTCACATGAACAGTATGGAGCGGTGATTTTCAAACTTGGCAACTTTAAGATGTTGGGACAAACTCCCAGAATTTTCCAGCCAATGGAGAATTCTGGGAGTTGAAGTTCACCCATCTTAAAGTTGCCGAGTGTGGAAAAACACTGGGGGAAAGTAATTTCTAGAAGCTCCCAGGTCCATTAGAGCAGCGGTCACCAACCTTGGCAACTTTAAGACTTGTGGACTTCAACTCCCAGAATTCCTGAGAGTTGAAGTCCACAAGCAAAGCTGGCTGAGGAATTCTGGGAGTTGAAGTCCACGAGTCTTAAAGTTGCCAAGGTTGGAGACCCCTGCATTAGAGGGTGTATCTACTCCATCTTCATCATCTTGTCTTTATCTTTCCCTACAGGAACTCCCAAAGCCCCCTCTGTGTTTCCATTGAGTCCTAGTGACCCAGCCCGGGTGACCAGGTCGACTTCCTCTGACTCCAAAGTTACCATCGGTTGTCTCGTCAAAAATTACTTTCCTGAACCAGCCACAGTGCAATGGAACTCAGGCGCCATCACCAGTGGAATCCACCACTTCCCTCCAGTTGTTCATTCGTCTGGCCACTATACTCACACCAGCCTGCTCACCATCCCCGCCAGCCAGTGGGAATCTGAGACATTCCACTGCAACGTGGACCATGAAGCTACCCACACCAGAATTAACACAAACATTGAGCGTGAGTCCAACAAAATTGCTCTTATCTTTTTTTTTTTTCCTGTCCAAGGGCAGTTTTCCTGCAAATTGCTTCTGGGCATTCTGCCAACCACAGTAAGATTACAGTTATCTGAAATACTGTGCCTCAGAACTGAGTTATTATTCTTTGAATTCTTGTTGGCTGTTAATGAAGTTAAATTGACAGCCCTTGTTTAGAAAAGACTGATTTATTGTACTTATGTTCGAACAACTACTAAGAAAGCTCATTAGTAGTCTTTAATTAGTAAATTAAGGTTTGTATGGACTTTGTGTGTGCTGCGTTCTTTGGGGTCCGTAGCTGGGGCAGAACAATTAGACAAAGGCAAAATCAACCCCTAAGTCTTTTATTTATTTATTTCATTTATTTAGTTTGCCGAACATGTACAAGATAACAGGCATAAGTATAAACATGGACATGAACACAGGAAATGAGTACAAATCAATGGGGACCGTAGGACAGGGACGGTAGGCACACTGGTGTGCTTATGCACCCCACCCCCTTTACGGAACTCTTAGGAATGGGGTGAGGTCCACAGTAGACAGGTTAAGGTTGAAGCTATGAGGGTTTGAAGATGTAACAACGGAGTCAGGTAGAGCATTCCAGGCGTTCACCACTCAGTTGCTGAAGTATGATACAGATGAGCTGTATTCAAGAATTGGTCTAGCAAATGTTTTGTATGCTCTGGTTAGTAGTGTGATATTACCAGAGAAGAAGCTATGCAAGAAGCTCCTGCAAGAAGCTTGCAGAACTGAACACTCTAACCATTGTGCCTCCATTATAAACCATGGGATCATTAAGCCAAAGGCCAAATAGAACAAGAATAGGTGAATCAAAAGATATTAATTAAGGACTGTTTTCTTTTAGACTCCACTAATCAACGCAATCGGTTCTTTGATTGGTGGGGTTCTGCTTTTTTGGTCCTGTTATTGTTCAGTATTTCTAAGAAGGTCATCTAAATTGGAAGAGTCTTCAGGGGAATAACAGGTAAAAAGGTAAAGGTAAAGGTTCCCCTTGCACATATGTGCTAGTCGTTCCCAACTCTAGGGGGCGGTGCTCATCTCCGTTTCAAAGCCAAAGAGCCAGTGCTGTCCAAAGATGTCTCCGTGGTCATGTGGCCGGCATGACGAAACACCAAAGGCGCACAGAACGCTGTTACCTTCCCACCAAAGGTGGTCCCTGTTTTTGTACTTGCATTTTTCACGTGCTTTCGAACTGCTAGGTTGGCAGAAGCTGGGGCAAGTTACGTGAGCTTACCTCGTCACGCAGCACTCAAACCCCTGAACTGCCGAACTTTCGATCGACAATCTCTGTGTCTTGGCCACCAAGCCACCGCGTCCCTAATAACAGGTAGGTCATCCTTAAACACTAAAAGTCACTCTTATGCCCACAGGATGTGACCATGAACCGGTGGCTCCTAGGGTCCATCTGCTGCATTCCTCTTGCAACCCGAAAGGCAGTGATGGAACCATAGCGCTGGTGTGTTTCATTGAGAGTTTCTACCCCAAAGAGATTAACGTTGAATGGCTGGTGGGCAGCCACCAGGGATTGCTGACTCCCTTCACTGAACCTCCAAAGCGTGATTCAAATACATACACTTTCAGCACCAACAGCGTCGTCAACATCACTCAAGAAGATTGGTTGGAAGGAAATACTTACTACTGCCAGGTAACCCACGCAGCATCGCAAACAAGGACAAAAAGCAGAGCCAGGAAATGTGAAGGTAATTATGACGGAATATAGACTGTGCTTTGTATAATGGGGAACGGACAACGAATCAAGGCGGAGAATAGCTGAAAGACCTTCACTCTTATAGTGAAAGCCATACCATTTCTAAATAAGCTCTATTAACATAATGAAGTTCATTGCTTGTTAATATTTAGATATTCAAGAAAATCCCTACTGCAATTTTTTGGGCATAGATGAAGCAAGATTGGTGCGATCGAAAGAGGGAAAATTCATAATTACGATACATAGACATATGGAATACTATCCAGGGGTATTGTTGATGTTAGTTGCAAAGTTGTGTCTGACCCATCGTGACCTCCAGGCCTTCCTGTCCTCTATCATCCCCCAAAGCTCACACCGACTGCTTCAGTGACTCCATCCAGCCACTTCGTTCTCTGTCGTCCCCTTCTTCTTTTGCCCTCAATCCTTCCCAGCATTAGGTTCTTCTCCAGTGAGTCCTTCCTTCTCATTAGGTGGCCCAAGGATTTGAGTTTCATCTTCAGGAACTGGCCTTCTAAAGAGCAGTTGGGGTTGATCTCCTCTAGGACCGACCGGTTTGATCGCCTTGCAGTCCGAGGGACTTGCAGGAGTCTTCTCCAGCACCATAGTTCAAAAGCCTCCATTCTTTGGCACTCAGCCTTCCTTATGGTCCAACGTTCACAGCCATACATTGCAACTAAGAAAACCATCGCCTTGACTATACGCACTTTTGTTGGCAAGGATAGGAATAGACAATTTAGCAATAAAGTAGAACTAACTCAACTAGATCACGGGACAATGTCTTATGAGACCTATTATTAGAGGTTGGAGGTTCGTTCTCCAAGCTTGGAGTTTGGTTTCTGAACGTTTCATTACCAGGCTTGGTAACAACTTCAGTGGAGTTTAGGGGATGTCAGTGGTCTTCTGTTTATAAGGCTTCAGGTGTGAGTGTGTCAAGGGAGAGTTGCCAGGGTTCCGATGGATGCCCTAATTATATCACGAGTCTCAAGCCAAGCTTCAAAAGAAATCCAGTTATTTATTAGGAGCTTCATGCCGGCATGTTCCCAAGTGAAGCCAGCTCTGACCCTTCGTAATTTATACCCCAATTATGACCCTGTTTCCCCCCCCCTGCCCCAGGGTGTGTCATCAATCACATTTGCCAACGGGTTGTAGAGGTCACTCCCCTCTGGCTGCTGTAGGTAACCCTGGGATACAGCCTTGAGAGAGATAAGCATGTAATGTGCATCTGTCTTTGGCTGCCATACCATTTCGCCAGTGTCCCATCCCCACTGGCCTATGGCAACTCGAGAACAGTCCAGGGATGCTTTGTGAGTTGACAAGGTTTTTGTGATGGGTCAGCTGTGAGATCAGTGAATCTTGTGTTAGGTCTTGTGATGGGTCTTGTGATACAGAGATTACATCAGGTCAGGGTCATTGGAAGGTGAACTGCTGGTGGAGGGAGTTGCGTGGATTGAACATTCAGAACAAACCTTCACCCTCATCCTACACCCAAGCAACAGATATTTGCCAGAAATTATTAGCCGTACTAGGCAACAGTTCCTTTTTGCTTGTCCTTGTTCTAGTTACTTGGTTATTGACATTGAAGTATATGTATTTTTTTTACTAATAACATGCTTTCTTCTTTTATAAGATGATTCTGAGGGATCTTTGCCTTTGGTTTAGTGTAACAACTAGTCTTTGGAAAGGGAGGAACACTAAGCGATAGTCAATTGGGTCCAGACAACAGGACATACACTTGACAATTCACAAGTAAAACAGGGAATGTTTTACCTGCATAAACTCAAGTGCTGATCTAGAAAGAGGAGAATAAATTAGATTAACGGTCTAAGGGAGAAGGGGGGGATGTAAGGACTGACATGAATTTTGTATCCCCAGATGCCATCAGCCACTTCTCCACTCCGGTTACCACCTACCTTCTGCCCCCACAACCAAAAGACTTGTACATAAACAGAAATGCCAAGATCGTTTGCGTAGTTGTCAATCTGCAACAGGAAGATGGGTTGAAAATAAGCTGGTCACGTGAGAAGCAAGTCGCCGCGCATCCAGAATTATTGGTGGTGACCGAAGAAAACAATGGGACCTTCACCGCTGTCAGCCGCCTCCCTGTCTCTGCCCAAGATTGGGAATCACATGAGACTTTCACCTGTTCAGTAGAATATCCAAGTTTGCCTGGTCCCATCGAGAAGACAATTACCAAGAGCAGAGGTAAGGAGGAAACAGAGTGGCTCTCCAAGCATAAATGAGAACATTTGCAATACCCAATGTGTACCACCAGGTTGGAGATATAAAACAAAATGTCATCAATAGTCTCCAGTCATGGAGCTTTCTTTTGTTCTATCCCTTAATATCATGGCACCTGGGACCACTGATATGGCATCCCTTGCTTCTGTGACAACTCTGCACAGTCATAATGTAGAATCTTGGCATTCCTAGAAATCGATGATGCTGTTAAGAGAATTCAGGATTGGTCTATTTACAGTATGTCTTGGATCCAACCCAAGCAGAGAGTTAGAACAAAATGAGATATGTGTTGTGGCCCCTTGGCCGCCAGCCCCTCCAGCAACCAAATCAGATGAGGAAGAGGGGGCATGGGAGTCAGGGCCAGCATCAAGGCAACCTGAGAGCTCCGAGGGGGGAAGAGGGAATGGAGCTGTCAGAAATAGAGATAGAGACAGAGGCGGAGCCTGGGCCATCCATCCTGGGCACTCAGATGGGGAGTCAACAGCCCCCAGGTCTGGAGGTGGCTGATGAGGAAGAGGAGGAACAGCTGGGTCCAGTGCCTGATGCTCGGATGCGCAGAAGGCAGAGGAGAGGAGAGCAGTGGAAATCTATGGGCCGATCCTTGGGATGGAAGAGCCCCCGCTGCTAGCGAAGCCCCACCCTAGCTCTGGGGATAAAAGGCAGGGGGCAGAGATGAATAGCTGTGGCAGACAACTATTCGTCTCCCTGCCGGACAGACTTGTTAGCCTGCTATGAGAGAGAGAGAGGCTGCTGGTGCTCCTAATAAAGGAATCATTGATTTAACTACAGAGGTTTTGATACATTTGTCAAGAATCATAAAGTACAACACTTAATGATAGTCATAGGGTACAAATAAGCAATCAAATCATACTAGGAAAGAAACAATCAATATCAATATATATTGTAAGGATACAAGCAACAAAGTTACAGTTATGCAGTCATAAGTGGGAGGAGATGGGCGATAGGAACAATGAAAAGACTAATAGTAATAGTCATGTAGACTTAGTGAATAGTTTGACAGTGTTGAGGGAATTATTTGTTTAGTAGAGTGATGGCGTTCGGGAAAAAACTGTTCCTGTGTCTAGTTGTTTTGGTGTGAGGTGCTCTATAGCGTCGTTTTGAGGGTAGGAGTTGACACAGTTTATGTCCAGGATGCAAGGGATCTGTAAATATTTTCACAGCCCTATTTTTGACTCGTACAGTATACAGGTCCTCAGTGGAAGGAAGGTTGGTAGTAATTGTTTTTTTCTGCAGTTCTAATTATCCTCTGAAGTCTGTGTCTGTCTTGTTGGGTTGCAGAACCAAATCAAACAGTTATAGAGGTGCAGATGACAGACTCAATAATTCCTCTGTAGAAATGGATCAGCAGCTCCTTGGGCAGTTTGAGCTTCCTGAGTTGGCACAGAAAGAACATTCTTTGTTGTGCTTTTTGGATGATGTTTTTGATGTTAGGGGTCCATTTTAGATCTTGAGCAGTGATGGGATTTAGCCAGTTCGCATCTATTCGGGAGAACCAGTTGTTAACTTTCTAAGCAGTTCAGAGAACTGGTTGTTGGAAGAAATCTTATTTTGTTTTTTTCCACTTTACAGGGCTAATCCTGTAAGGAAGGCAGGAAGGAAACCTTCTGGTGGTGTTTCTAGCCTAATCTTTATTGCCCTGCTTACAGAAACTGCCTCTCTGGTTAACCCTTATTACATTGTAACAGCTAAGGTGAAGCGCCCATCGACATGAGTGACATTGAGTTGGCCACGCCCACATGGTCACATGACCACCATGTGGGCATCATTAGGGCAGAGAACAGGTTGTTAAATTATTTGAATCCCACCACTGATCTTGAGATATGGTAGAACCTAGTCTCTACTGTTGATACTGTGTTGTCTAGTATTGTAAGAGGTGGTAATTTAGGAGTGTTTCTCCTAAAATCTACCACCATTTCTACAGTTTTGAATGTGTTCAGTTCCAGATTGTTCTGGTTGCACCACAAGGCTAGTTGTTCAACCTCCCGTCTGTATGTATGACAGTAGCTTATCTGTCAATCTCACAAGTGATCCAGTCTTCATAGACTGGCAATCTACAGCAAATCATGACTTCATACATGGGAACCCAGTCACGCCTTCCATTATTTTATCCTAAACTAAATAATAATATGTGACTTTATCTCTTTTTTTTTTCTTTCCATGTTTTTACAAAGAAAAGAGCCAGGCACCCATCATCCACGTCTACCCTCCCATCCCTGGTAATTCACTTATCCTCACCTGCTTCATCCGTGGCTTTGTCCCCGCTGATATCAATGTGGGGTGGCTGAAGAATGGCCAGGCCGTTCCAGAAAATGAATATGTCAACACCCCAGCTGTGAAGGAAAAGAGTGGCGATTCCCACTTTGAGTATAGCAAACTGACCATCTCTCAATCATCTTGGGACAAGGGAGACCTGTATAGCTGTATGGTTGTCCACGAGGGCCTTGAAAACAAGTTGACCCAGAAGAGCATAGAGAAAACTTCGGGTAAACGTTGAAGACTCAAAATATGCGTTGTCCTTCTAGATTCGTCTCTCACGGTGTTGGATCCCAATCTTTGTAAATAGTTTACATGCTAACATGTTTGGCTCCTGGCTTAATAAAAGCAAACCAACTCAAAGGTCTCTTGGGTTATGCCCTTATTTTCTCTCTCTCTCTTCAATGAAATTGGGGACTGAGCAAAGTTGAGGGATGAATTCTGGAATGAAGAGAGAAAGGGTTAATTTCTCCGGACGTTAGAACAAAGGCTCAAGGTTGATGCTGGAGAAAAAGGGGTTTCACTCTTCCCTTATCAGTATCAATTTGAGAGCCAAAGTCTTGGGTTCATGTATTAGTACTAAAGATAAAGGTACGTGCTAGTCGTTCCCGACTCTAGGGGGCGGTGCTTATCTCTGTTTCAAAGCCAAAGACCCAGCACTGTCCAAAGACGTCTCTGTGGTCATGTGAGCGGCATGACAAAATGCCGAAGGTGCAAGGAACGATGTTACCTTCCCACCAAAGTGGTCCCTATTTTTCTACTTGCATTTTTTACATGCTTTCGAACTGCTACATTGACAGAAGCTGGGGCAAGTAATGGAAACTCACACCATTACGCGGCACTAGGGATTCGAACCGCTGAACTGCCAAGCTTTCTGATCGACAAGCCACCGCATCCTACTTCTTACTACTTCTTCTCAAAGTTGCTGCACAACTTCATACTTGTCTGGAGATTTGAAACCCATCAAAATCCTCTAACCTCTCACACTTATTTCCAATTGTTTGTCCAAAAAAGATCACTTTCCTTTCTACGTGGGTGGCAATCTTCCGGTTGCAGTTCATATAATTACAATTATGTATCATTTCCCATCAAGTTTTTTCCTTTCATCACTCTTTGTCTCTCCAGCCAGGTGCCAACCCGAATAGACTTGAATGTAGGTAATAAGTAATCTTTCTAACATCCTTGGAATGGATCTCATAACTTCTATATCCAATGGGACTTATCGTGGCTGGCTAGACCCTAGGCAGCTTACAAAACCAGCAATAAAGCAATATATAAAACAAAGAAAAAGCAACAGAGTTAAACCCATTTATCCTTGGAGGCGAAGTAGAGAGTTGGACAGTGTAGTCTTGGAAAACCCTGGAATGCCACAATAAAAGAATTGTTCTGACAGACTCAGATAAGCAAATCTTCACACGAATAAACAAACTAATTGTCTCCTGAAAACACGACTCCCCTTTTGCTCCTATTTATTCCCCATGGGAGGGGCCCTTCGGCGTCCAGTTGTGCCTTTACTCCCGAGTCGACCCCTGTTCCTTAATTGTTCCCATCTCCTGACAGTTCTGCACATGCGCACATCGGGAACAGGCTCCAGCTGTTCTTCTGCCCCACATATCTCCGACTCCGAAGGCAGCTGGCAACTATCAGATGGCCTTGGCCCCCTCTCTGCCTCTGATGCAGAGTCCTCATTCGAGCTTTCCCCAGCCCCCAGGACTGGCCCATGTTCCTCCCTAGCCTCCTCACTGTCCGAGTCTGCTGCCGCTGGCGGGCCACAACAGGAATCCGAAATCTAAGAAATAGTGACGAATCACATAACGCGCAAGAATATCCACAAAATATACTAGGCAGTCCTAGCCGAAGTACCTCCCTCCATTTTGTTTCTCCTTGAATAGTTCCTTATCATTCAGAAACCACATAAAGACACTACATAACATGCTAGAACCTAAATAGTCATTTCAAGAACCAAGTAAATGGTTATCCTGACCTTCCTTTATTTTTCCCTGTTTCTTTTAAACTTAATCGCTAGGAGGAAAAGAATGTTTTGACCAGTCCAATGTGTACAATGAGAGATATATACACCATCTTTTCCTCGTAACTGTGCCCTGTCGACAAGGCATTCATTGCTCAAAAATCTATCTAGGAATCTCTAAGACAACGAAACAGCATGGTGAAGGAAATCTCAAAAGATAAGCCCACAAACCACCACTACAAAATAATTTGTGGAGAGTGTGATTGCAAATTAACATGATAATTTCTTGTGCGCCACTTGAAAAAAAACAGAAATGGAAGGATACTATTCTCGAATTATTTAATGGGCTTTTCAACATATTGTAGCATGAAAGACCAGAATAACAGAGTTGGGAGGGACCTTGGAGATCTTCTAATCCAATTCCTGCTCAGGCAGGAAGTCCTATACCATTTGAGATAAATGGTTGTCCAATCTCTTCTTTAAAAACTTCCAGTGTTAGAGTACCCACAAGTTCTGGAGATAAGTTGTTCCACTGGTTAATTGTTCTCACTGTCAGGAAATTTCTCCTTAGTTCTAGGTTGCTTCTCTCTTTGATTAGTTTCCATCCATAGTTTCCATCTTGTCCTGTCTTCCAGTGCTTTGGAGAATAAGTTTCTCCAACTTGATGGTTTGACCATATCTTGACTTCATTTCCCAGTGGCTGACTTGAGAAACACTAAAATATGCAATACACAAATGTTTGGCCTAATCAAGATCTTTATTTTCATCATATAAAATGGATGGAGGGGGGAAAATGCTCGAGGATCCTATCTAACCATGCGATCAAGACTCAAAATAATAATAATAATAATAATAATAATAATAATAATAATAATAATAATAATAATAATAATAATACCAAATGCACATTAGTCCACAAGGGGAAAAAAACAAAACAATAAAATAAAATCCAGCAGACCAATTGACTCCAAGATAACCATAAGCTTGATGGACACAAATTGCTCCGAACATCTCCAACATTTCAAATGTTATTCTTCAAAACCGAAAGACCACAAAACTGATATCTAAACACATTATAACCAACACTCCGTGATTTTGGAAAACAAACATTCAGACTTCTCAGATATCACAAATGAATTTAAAAACATCATAAAAGTGTTGTGGCCCATCAGCAGCCTGTGCAGCTAGTAGCTGATTCTGACAGCGAGGAGGCTGGTGTGGTACTGCGCCAGCAGCCTGTGCAGCTGACACTCGAGTCAGACAATGAGGAGGCTGGAGAAGATGTGGTGCCAGAGGCGGGGATTCAGCCAGGGCCTTCAGAACCTCCAGAAGCTCCCTTAAGTGAAGAGGACGAAGAGGAGGAGCCTCTTCTCGATGCACGGACACGCAGAGCTGCTAAAAGGCAGGAGTGGCTCCTCAGGAGGAGGTCTCCTTGAGAGTAAGGCTTGGGGCTAATTGGCCACTCCCTTAGCCTATTTAAGGAGGAACGCCAACTGAAGCAATTTGCAGGGAACAACTTCATTCACATACCTTCGTATCTTGTCTTGCTTATCTTATCAGCTTCCTGCAAATTGCTTCTAGGCATTCTGCCAACCACAGTAAGCTTTCAGATTTATTCTTTGAATTCTTGGTGGCTGTTAATGCAGTTAATTAACAGCTGTTGTTGTAAAAGACTGATTTATTTAGTAAAATAAGGTTTGAACGGACTTTGTGTGTGCTGCGTTCTTTGGGATCCGTAGCTGGGGCAAACAAAAAGCATGCGCGTGGCTTCAAAATGTGCCTAAATAGGATGGCATAGCATCGGGGCGGGTGGGCAGGCCCACCTGCGATTTCTGCTACCGGTTCGGATGAACTGATTGAAACCAGCTGAATCCCACCTCTATCCCCAAGATATCTTTCCAAGAATCTGCTCTCTAGTAGCTGAGGAACAGCACAGAAGAAACATGGAAAAAAGAAGAATGATAAACAGTGAAGACTTTACGATACATAAGGCAAATATTTTTTTTAAAATTTTGGCCTTCGGATTTTGAATTCAGTGAAGAGGCTTCTGGGAACTGGCACTGAAAAAAAGTGACATATGACCGTTTTTCACACAACCATTGCAGCATCCCCATGGTCACAGGATCAAAATTTGGATGCTTTGCAACTGGTTCATACTTATGACGGGTGCAGTGTCCTGGAATCATGTAATCCCCTTCGGTGACCTTCGGACAAGCAAAGTCAATGAGGAAGCCAGGTTCACTTAACAATTGTGTTATGAACGTAACACCTGCGGTGATTCACTTAGCAACTGTGGCAAGAAAGGTCGTAAAATGGGGCGAAAAGTGTTTAACATCTGTCTCGCTTAGCGTCTGAAATATGACAATATAACAAGGGCTTCTAAATTGGGCAATAAGTACCTTTTAGAAGGTCCGTTCTGACTTTGAATGTTGGCTAAGCCACCGATCGTAAGTCGGGGACTTCTCACTTTTCCAGACCTGCTTTGATAGCACAATTTGTTGTTGTTAGTTGCAAGGTTGTGTCCGACCCATCGCGACCCCAAGGACAACTTTCCTCCAGACATTCCTGTCCTCTACCATCCTCTGGAGTCCATTTAAACTCCACTTACTTCTTCAGTGACTCCATCCAGCCACCTCGTTCTCTGTCGTCCCCTTCTTCTTTTGTCCTCAATCATTCCCAGCATTAGGCTCTTCTCCAGTGAGTCCTTCCTTCTCATTAAGTGGCCAAAGTATTTATTTTACTTTACTTTACTTTTATTTGATTTATATACCGCCCTACTCCCAAAGGACTCATGGGGGTGAACAGCCAACAATAAAATACATATATACAAAATTTAAAAAGCAGAAATAAAATCGAATTAAATAGTTTGGCCCAGACAAATTAAAACCCCAATCAATTTAAAACAAATTTAAACTTTGAGTATTAAAAATATTAAAATTATTAAAATTGTTTAAAAAGAGGGAAGAAAGTTAGGCCAGGCCTGTCTGGTGGAATAAAAAGGTCTTTAGAGTGCGGTGGAAGGTGCGCAGATCTGGGATCCTCCGTATCTCCGGGGGGAGCTCGTTCCAGATAGTAGGTGCCCCCACAGAGAAGGCTCTCCCCCTAGGGGCCACCAATCGACATTGTTTGGCCAACGGCACCTGGAGGAACCCCTCTCTATGGGAGGGTACCCGCCTTTGAACTATGGCCTTTGAACTATTTGAGTTTCATCTTCAGGATCTGGCCTTCTAAAGACCAGTCAGGGTTGATCTCCTCTAGGACCGACCGGTTTGATCGCCTTGCAATCCAAGGGACTCGCAGGAGTCTTCTCCAGCACCAGAGTTCAAAGGCCTCCATTCTTTGGCGCTCAGCCTTTCTTATGGTCCAACTTTCACAGCCATAAATTGCAACTGGG